CTCGCACGGGAGCGCCCCCGGCGACGCCCGGTGGGTGGACGAAGGGTGTCGCCGAGAGCGCGCTAATATGCATATCGTCTGCATGCCGCGCGTATGACGGCCGAGGTGGAGGCGAAGGGACGTCTCTCGGGACGAGACCTCGACGGGATTCGGGTAGAGTTCTAAATCCAGTAAGTTACGTCAGAAACTAAGAGAAATTCCCGGTAATTTATCGGTAATTTCTCCAAAGCCTTTCTTTATCGAGAAATTATGAGAATTTGAATTTTTCAACAGAGCGAACGAGAGGTTTCGATTAGCTATAGAGAAACATCGTAGAGGGGAGTTTCCGTTGTACGTTCTCCGTAGCCAATCAAAACCTCCCATACGCTTCGTCGCAGAATGAAATATCAGTTCGTTTGAAACAAATGGCATGGAGTTTTCCGTGAAGTCGTACATACGTGAATATTTTTAGCTGGAATTAAATACCACCCTATAATCAATATTTTCTAATAGTAATTATTACTCTTTAGCTTGAACTTTGAGGTTGATTGAAAAGAAAAAAAAGTTATTTAAACGAAGAAACCTAAAGTATAAATAACAAAATTAACGTTCTCTTAAATTCTCACTGTTCCCGGTAACTTACGGTATGTTTCACAGTTACCTTCTCCAATTTAATGTTACCGAGAATTTTCGAACTCTAGATTCGGGGGGTCGGGGCGACGCATCGAGCAGGTGCGAGGCTATCGGGAGATCCATCGGAGACCGGGCGGCGCGAGTGTGCGCGCATGCGCAATGGAAAGCCGGCTAAGCGCGTCGGGCCCCCGTTGCTCGGAGTAAATAGGCAGAGGCCGTTACGTCTCGTGATTTACATGAGATCTTGGCGACCCTTCTCCGAGAGCGAGAGCTCGCCGTACCTGGAGCTACTCCCTGGCCGTGCGCGCCCATCCCGTCGGTCTCCTTCTCCCTCTCCTCCTCCCTCGCCGGGGAAAAAATCCCGACTTCTCACGAATGCTCGCCGGCTCTCGCTCGTCGGTAACCTTTCCATCGCAGGCGGGGACGACCTTATCGGCCGAGCGCTCTCACGATCCTCCCCCACCGAGGAGGGGTGGACGATTTCACCCTGCGGTCCTTCGACCCCTTTGGGGATTTTTCCAATTTCCGTGCATTTTTCGGGAATCTTCGCGTTGAAGGAATCATCGATCGCTCATCGATCGCGGTGCGTTACGTGGGATCGACGGGGGCGGGGGGAGTCGCCAAGCAATTTTGCCGGCAAAATTGGATCGACCCTGCGGTCCTTCGACCCCTTTGGGGATTTTTCCAATTTCCGTGGATTTTTCGGGAATCTTCGCGTTGAAGGAATCATCGATCGCTCATCGATCGCGGTGCGTTACGTGGGATCGACGGGGGCGGGGGGAGTCGCCAAGCAATTTTGCCGGCAAAATTGGATCGACCGATCACCGTGCTCGTCCTAGCGCGAAAATCCCCGACCATTGTACAAGGTAAACGGCGAGTGAGTATCGCGCCTCTTGGTGAATCATCGAAATTCCTCGAACCGCTCGTTAGTCGTGACGAGAGCGCGTTTCGGACCGTCCTTGCGGAAGACAAAGAGTCAGTGGCTCGCGAGTCGCCCGCAAGGACGGAGGGCCAGGTCGCGGTTTCCTGGACGGACGCCTCCCGAGATTGCGGAAATCGGCTCGTGAGCTCTCTTCGATTCTTTCGGGACGACGTTTATTCCGGTCCTCGTCGCGGAATTTCTCGCGACCGGCTTTCTTTCCCGTTCGCGAGGATTTCATAGATTTCGAGATGGCGATTCGCATCTCCCCGCGAGACCGAACTCGGAATCGAGGAGAATTGCGTTTCCGCTTCCGGACGGGCGTCTCGCCGTCGCGGAGGTTTTCCGGCCAGGGCTCGTCGTTCCGTTAACGCGCGACCGCAACGGAGAACGGTCGCCATTAAAGATTCAGTCCGCACGCACGGCCGTACCTTGCACCGGCCTCTCCTTTCCTGGCCGATCAATTTTCTCCCGGTCGGACGGAGCCGGCTCGGGACCTTCCGAAAAAGTCCTCGGCAAGAAACTCCCTCCAACGGGATTGTCCGGATGCGAGACGCGGAACGGCCGGATCCGGGATTCCCGCGACGATCGACGCAGGTTCCGGGTGGGTTCTCGGGGGAACTCCTCCGGGAACCGAGCCGTCGTCCCGGGAGACGAGGCATCCGAGGTAACGCGATGCCTCCCTATCAATTCCTCCGGCTAATCCTCCGGCCAACGGGGCCGCGGACGCGGATCGATGCTCGCCCACCCTGACCGTTCCTCCCGGGTCGTGCCCCGACGAGGAGACAACGCCGCTCCAACGCGATTCTGCCCCAATTAATCCCCGGCCGCGGATCGGTCCCGGACCTGCCCGAACCTCCTGGACGAGCTCGGACGGAAGGACGCCCTGGGACTCGAAGATCGACTCCATCGGAAGACGGCGACCTATCCGCCGCGAAAGGGACCCCCGGAAATCCCGCGTTGGTTTCCTCGGCACCTCGGCGACCTCGGGGATCGAGTCCGACCTCCGGCGAGGTCGCGACCGGCCTCCGCGATCGATTTCCCGGGTCGACCCGCGAGGCCCTCGGCGGGCCGTTAACCGCCTTCCGCGAACCTCTCCGAGGACAAAGGCGTAATGGGAGCACGATCCCTCCTAATTAGCCAATAACACAGAAGCCGTGCGTTTACGCAATCTGGCACGCCCACCTAAGTGGACGCGCGCTTTGTGCGTGCTCGCCCGCGCCTCTACGTGCACGTAACCCCCGGCGAGTACTCGCGCGAGTGCTCGAGAGACGGAGAGAGAGAGAGACGCGGGCCCGGTATTATTATTCTCAACCGTTGCCGTCTCTTTATTGCGAAGGATCGCGTTATTCGCGATCTTTCCCGGCGACGCGTTGCGCAACACCGGAGACCGCGGCCGACCCCTCTCGGGGAGGCGAGCGAGGATCCGCGCGGATTTCTGGAGATCGCGACTCGCACCTATGAGTCCCTTTATAAATTCCCCGGGGGGTACCCGCGTCTTCGCGAGGACGCTCCATATGCGAAGGCGACTCGGACGCAATGCCGTCCTGGCGTTGACGCAATCGCGCCGCTTGCGGGCAAACCGTGCCGCGCGCGTCCACCTACGCGGGGCGATTACGCTTCGTCGCCGATCTCATTTTTCAAGAGGCCAACGACCCGCCGCGACTCTCCGCGGCTCCTTGCGAGGAAAGGACGACCGCGCGTCTCCGCGGAATACCGACGTCGACGTCTTTTTTAACAATTCCTGGGGACGGACAGGAACGCGGGCCTCGTTGAAGAAATACCGCCGCGGTTTGCCGTTTCGAGGCACGTGCTCCTTTAAAATCCGCCACGGAGGTGACTCTTCCTTTCCGGAGGGCAGCCCCGAGAGGCCGCCGTCTCTCCGCGTGGAGTTTGCCGCGCGAATCGATAAGCCCGACCTCGTGGGCTTCCCTCGCCTCGGGACGAGGCTCGTCGAAGCGCACCGACGATCGCCCTCGTCGCCTCGAAACGAAGGCTTTACCCGAGACCGCGGAAATCCTCTGACGCGCCGCCTGCCGACCTGCCCCATGGAGTGAATCCCCTCGGAAAAGAGGAAAAGGAACTTCCGGAACGGGTATTTTTCCGGACAATTTTCTAGAGTCCCTAGGATGTTCCGGGGAAGCGTTCTCCGGAGGGACGATAAGGCACGTCTCTCCCTGCCACCCCCAACTTGGCACCGGGCTCTCCCCCCGAGTTTTCCACGACCTTTCCATTCCTTGACCCCGCCAACCTTGACCCAGGCCTCCCACGCGGCGATCGATCGATCGCGGAACCGCGCCTCCTAAACTCAATCGCGCAATCGCGGGGAGTGGGAGGTGGGAGGGAGGCGATCCGCTTCCGCCGATTCGGTCCTCGCTTTTTCCGTCCCAGGCTGGCAGCGGTCCTCCGGGTGCCCTCCGAGGTGTCCCCAGGTGCGCTCGCCGCGAGTCAGTCACGACTCGCGGTATTCTTAGCCCGGGGTTACGTAAAGCGGCCCGTAATCGCCGGCGAGTCGATACTCCAAGGGTGGACGCGCCTCCCTATGGGGACGCCATGGGGAGAAGCGTCGTTCCCGGCCGACGATCCTCTCGCCGATCGGGGGAGAAGCGCATAACGACTCGCGGTCCGAGACCGAACTCCCGGTATTCTTAGGTCAGGATTACGCAAGGCGTTCCGTAATCGATCTCGCACCGATATACCCGGACGGTGGACGTTTCCTGGGAGCGCGCGAAGTATACGAGCGTTTATACCGCCGAGCGCGCCGCGACGCGTAACCCGCGTCCTGGGTCAACCGATTCCGGGTACGCGCGGGGGACCTCTCCGCCTCCGCGGAACGTTTGTCGCCCTTCCGGGGAAAGAAGGCCGGGATGGTCGGGGCCTTCCGATGTAACCGGAAACGATATTATCGATCCGCGAGGAGGCCGTCCGAGGATCGTCGCGGGGACGGCGATCGCTTCGGACGGCGTACTCCACTCGGCGTCGACCCCCAGAGGACGAGCCTCGCCTCGGCGTCGACCCCCAGAGGACGAGCCTCGCCTTGGAGGTCCTCGACGGTCGCTTCTCGATCCTCGAGGAGGCCGTCCGAGGATCGTTGCGGGGACGGCGATCGCTTCGGACGGCGTACTCCACTCGGCGTCGACCCCCAGAGGACGAGCCTCGCCTCGGAGGTCCTCGACGGTCGCTTCTCGATCCGCGAGGAGGCCGTCCGAGGATCGTTGCGGGGACGGCGATCGCTTCGGACGGCGTACTCGACTCGGCGTCGACCCCCAGAGGACGAGCCTCGCCTCGGATGGTCCTCGACGGTCGTTACCCCCGCGACCGCGCAAATATCGCCTTGACGCGATACTCGGCAGAGTCCCGCACCAAGTGCACGAGCGAACGGGACTCTTTGCGTCGACGGGATCGATTCGTTAGGAATCATCTCCCGACTCGATTTAACGGTGGACGTCGTCTTTTCTGTTTCAGAGAGCCGCACCGAACCGCACCCCGGGTCGAGGGGCGTCGATCGTCCGAAAAACCCCTTCTCCTAGCGCCGATCGCGACGAAATGAGGCAAAGCCCCCCGGGAGCTTGACGCAACGAAGAGAGCCGTGAAAGTTCCCCGCGTTGGCGCGAAACCCGGCGCGTCAGTGCCGCAGGAAGGATTAGTGATCGCAATCGGGGAGGAAAAACGGCGGAGGAGACCGACTCGCGGCCGGTCCTCGTAAATATGTAACGAACGATGTAAGCGCGGTCGCCGAGGCGAAGAAAGCGAGAAGCGAAGCGGGGAAAAGAAATCTAATCGATCGGCCGTCTCAAGAGCCGCGTCGAGTTTCGATCCACCTCGAGGGTCGACCTTTTCCGCGGTGTCGAAAATTCCGCCCGGAGTCTCCTCGGCGATGCTCAAGAGCGCGACGAGTCCCGGCCCGGTTGTAAGGAAAACGCTAGTCCGCCCGGTAATCGATATCTCGCGCAATTAGCGTCAATTTGTCTCGGCCGAGTCCTAACTCGACCCGCGACGATACCCTCGGCGTTATCGGTCGAGGCTCGCCTCCCTCGCGAATTTATCGCGCCGGTGTCCCGAGGCCGCGTCGCTGGGTCGATCGCGCCTCGGAAGCGGGAATCTCGCGAGCCGTCCGAGAGAGAGAAGATCGGTAAAAAAAAAATATATTGTTATCATCTCTCGATACGTTCGAAGGGTTCCAGGGGAATTTCCGGCCTCGCGCTGAGCACGGCGCCGAGAATCGAGGTAACCGAGTCGCGAGACTTAACCTCTGAATCGGGCGACCAGGGGAACCGATCTCGAGATTTCTTTAGCCTTTCGATGTCTAGATAAATTTATCTACCCCGGCCGGACAATATCTATACGTACGCGCGTTCGTCCCGTATAAACGTTTATAGGGAAAAATATATATATAAATATATAAATAATTATATAGTCGAGTCATATGCTCGTTACGATCGGTCGGACCGCGTTGATCACGGTGACGGTGTCGAGTCGAAAAGCGCGCGCTTCGGGTCGAGCCAATCGTCCCCCGGTCGAGGAGAAAGGCTCGAGATCGGCGTTCGAGGTCGGACGGGCCCCGGGTCCAAGGGAAAGCGGACACGCGATTGGCCGGGATGTACAAGGAGCGGAACGGCTCGGCGAGCGGCGGAGGTTCGGGGGCCGGCGGCGAGGTGGAGCTGGTGAGCAGGTTCCTGGCGCCATTGTGCGCGAGGGATGAAGCCGCCAGGAACATCGCTCTGGCCGCGGCCAGGACCACGGTGGAGGGATGGCTCGGGGGGGTCGGCAGCCCTAACCAATGGGAGGACGCCTCGGAGATGGAGGACAACGCGAACGAGCCCGGCAAGTTCAAGGGCCAGGACGGCAGGTGAGTCGACTCCCGTCCTCCGAGGCGAAAGGACGAGAGTTAACGACGAGGACTCGATGATGTAGGTCGGCAGTCCCGGAGATGGGTCGTAAGGAAATTATTTTCTATAATTCAAGGAAGCATTCCAATTGCGGTCTCTTGGTTTTGACTGAGGATAACGCTTTATCGACCGGAAGCCTATCGATCGGCTTCGCGGTACCCGCGATCGCCATTTATTTCGAAACTCGCCGGTCGGTAAAGCGTTGAAATATCGAGTCGAGAATTCGTAAATCCCCGCTGGAGGGGAAGTTTCGGAGAAGATTGAATTAAAATGGACGTGTCTCGCGACAAGGTACGACATGAGCGTGGAGAGGTCGCCGTCCAAGTCGGCCCCGAAGAACGTCCACGGCTCGAGGAGTCCCCTGCTCCAGGACACCTTCCGGACGGAAGGATTCTTCCCCCAGAGCGTCACGGAACATCCGGCCTTCCCGAAGGAGGCCAGCCTGGAGCCGAGCGACCGGTTCTCCTCGGGGTCCTTCGACGCGGTGGACGGGCGGTTCGGGAACGAGGCCATCCTGGGGATCCCCGGCGACAGGAGGCTCTTCCTCGCGGAAGGGGCCGAGAAGTTCGGCCACTCCGCCTCCTCGGACGAGGGGAAGGACTCGAAGCTCCTCGAGGCCAGATGCCTCCGGCCGAAGGACTCGGATTCTCGCTCCAAGGACGAGTCGAGGTTCGGCTCGTCCACCGAGAGCGAGAGGAAGTTCCTGGCGTCCTCCATCGAGCAGCTCAACGAGTACGAGGAGAAGTTCCGGGCCCCGAGGGACGTCAAGACGGTCAAAGTCAAGGGCGCCAAGCAAAAGGTGGAGGACGACGAGCCGGACTCGGACACCAGGGTCTACGGGAAGAGTCCCAAGTTCGACGAGAACTTCGGCGCCCTCGGGAAGACCCCCTTCACCGGAGAGCACTACGAGGGCTGCAACGCGGCCTACGTGGCGAGGAATCTGACCAACATGGATTTCGGCTTCTCCAACCTGCGGCGGACTCGGGGAAGCCAGGGAACCGGCATCGACGACGAGCTGCCCTCCGTCGATGGGGTCGTCTTCAATACCCTCGACGGATTCGAGAACGAGAACATGAACCTGGAGGACCCCGAGTGCTTGGGGTTCAACGACAACGAGGAGATCAAGGCGGAGCAGCTCCAGTTCCATCCGGAGGTGCCGCAGGACTATCTGCGGAATACCGAGAGCGACAGAAAGTTCAGCGCCGGTCAGATCAAACGTCCCCTGTCCCAGGACGAGGACGTTTCCCCGAAGAGCAACAGGGTCCTCGAGAGCCCGGAAGTCAGCCCCGGCGACGTCGGCAGGATGCTCAACTTGGGTAACGCCCTGGACGGACCTCGGCAAACCCAGGCGAATAAATATCTCAGCCTGGTGACTCTCCATCTCCCGGTTATTTTGAGGCTCAGCGTCAATTGTCCCTTCCAGAATGTCAGGATCAAGTGCGCCGAGATCCTGCAAATGGTCAAGGTGAGCGTGGCTTTTTGTTCGGTCACTTCCGTTACACCGGAGGACCGAATTGAATCTTTTTTTTTTCTCCATCTCCTAGAAGATTCGATTTTCGGTTTTGTCGAGCGAACGATCGGTTCGCTCGACGGCGGCCCTCCGTCCCCGTTACCGTCATTTGAAAATGCAAAAAATCGCCGAAGGCGCGCCCGAAGTACTCCCCGAAATAGCCGATCTCGCCCGATGTCCACTTCGGCATGCCGCGGCTTTAAGAGTTCGAGAGAGTTATTTCAATGGAGTTGTTTTGACGAGGGATTTAAGAGCCTTGTCGAAGAGTGGCCAAAAATACGAGCCCTCCTTTCGTTCGGCCCTGCTTGTTTTTACCTCCCGGTCCGCGCAAATACGCGTTGTTGTTCCTACGACGGCGATCGATAATTGTTTATTATCCCGATGCTCTGGAAAAGCCGGCGGCGGAGAACTGGAAAGTGATTGCGATCGGGCGGATCGAGTTAATTGGATAATTGATCGTTTTAATGTTTCAAACTACTTTTTGTCGTTTTTTCTTTTGTTGCTTTTCATGCTAAACTCGACGGCGGGATCTTAACCGATGGCCTTGAAGCGAGCCTTGAAGGGATTTCAAGGAGTCCGAGGTGTCACGTTCGATCGGAGGAGCCGTGATCGAGTCCGAGCGTTTGCTCATTTTTTCGCACCCTCCGATGAATTATTAATGCCGACACGCGAGCCACGTATGCAGGCTACCGATGGATCGTTGCAGGAGTCCGCGGCGACCTGGTTAACGTCCTCGAGAAATAACGGACGATTGAAAAATAAAAGGATCGCAATTATGCTAGAACGATCCCAGCGAGGAGGCCCTCGGAGCGGAATCGCATCGTCGACACGTTTTTCATATATTTATGCGAATCAAATTTCTGAGCCCTTTCCCTCGACCCTTTGCGTTCGTCCGTTGGTATACTTTGATCTGGTACTCGGTTTGCGATAAGAAAAAAAAAGTTTCAGATGCAAAAAATGTATCCGCCCAACGTGGGGCTCGAACCCACGACCCTGAGATTAAGAGTCTCATGCTCTACCGACTGAGCTAGCCGGGCTGTTGGTGGTCCTCCTAGACCAGTTTTCTATTCAGTACCCGCCGCTCGATTCCTATAAATACATGTTTTTGCAAGATTCACTTTTACCTATAAATATGTATATTCGAGTTATTAATAGCGCACGTATCGATTCTTCTCCGCAGGATCGGGGACTTCCGGTGCCGGAACCTGCCTTCGACGGACCCAGCGCGTTCGTGCCGACATCGGAGGTGAGTCTCGAACCATATCGTTTACCAAGGAGTCGAGCAATGTTTTCAGCTCGTCGACATTCCGCGCAATTATTCGTTTCTCGCAATTTATATGGGAACGACCGTCCCCTCGCGGCCGAGCTAATGAGTCAGGGTTGCACCCGGGCGGGTAAAAGGACGAATGCGAAAAATGGGAGGGAGCAGATCGCTCGCAATTTCGGCACGTCGATTCGCGTGCCCGGGCGCTCTAATTTTATTACATCTCGAGAGAGTTCCACGCAAAAACAAAACAATTAGCGGTCTAAATCGGAGCCAGCGAGGAATTGGCGCTCCCTCGGGGTGCAGCCAGGACGCGCCGGCGGGAATCCGGCGTTCTCATTGGTCGTTGATCGGTAATGCAGGCGGCCGACTGGTCGGCCGGTCCCCTGTGCATCGCGTGGAACGACGCTCGGCGCTTGCTTGTCCCCTCGTAACCTTCAATTTAAGCTAATTATTAGCAATTAGGGAGTACTTTAGCCGATAAACGGCCCCCAAGGGTGACGCCTCCGCGCGGCGCTCCTACTTGCCGACGCGGTTCGCTCCGTAGTTCCTCGAAATCTTCACGGATGGCGCCACCGGCGGCGCCACGCGCACTCCGGTATCCCGACGGCCGAAATTGCAGGTTTCTCGTTTCGCCGTCGGATGGCGCCTCGGGAAGGAAAACCCAGGGGACGATTTCGACGTTTCGTCGGAGTTCAGTGGCCCTTACGGGAGAGGAGTCGAAAAATCACGAGGCGTCGATCCTCCCGAAGAAATGGAAAAGGAGCGAGTACTTTCTTCCGCGAGATGCCTTGCCAGCGATCGTCGCGTGTTTTCGTTTAATACGCGGACCGGCATTCGGACCCCGCGTTAAAAATATCACGAAACGTTTGCACGAAACCTCGCGCGCGATGTATTCTCGCTTCTTTCGACGTCGATCCCGCTCCGCGCACTCGACCTTCGCTCGGTTGGAACTATCCAAGCTTTGAATTCAAGTGGCACTAAGATGTTTACGTTCCATTTAAATAGCTGATGTAACGCAAACAGTGGGAAGCGGGCGATAATAGGAAGGGCGATAAAACATCTTTTCCATCGCGGACGGATCGGCGCACCGGGCGATCCCCGAGGCGGCCGAAGTTTTCCCGGCATTCGTTCGTTATTTAATCGAGCACGTCCGGAGGATTCACGGGGAAAATAAATAAACTAAAAGCCGGTGGAGGGGACGCGCGTCTCGCCCCGTCAGAAATCGATACCCCGCCGCGTTGCTTGTCCTCGGGAGAAAAACAACTCCGTATTAAAAGTCCGCGGCAACGGTCGTTACTCGTGGGGGTGCCTTAAAAAAAGGAATACGGCGCCGTTATAAATAACGAGTCGAGGTCGCGTCGTGAATAAAGAGCGCCTATTTGCGGCGAAAACCTCCGTGAATGGGATCGCTATCGTTCGTCCCGTTGGCGAGCGTTTAGCGCGCGCCGATAACGCGAAGGGGAAAAAAGAAACCGACCGAAGACGCGAGGGGGGAGAGTCGCGGATCTCGTTACTTGTTGATCCCTTTCCCTTCGCCCCGAAATGGGAATTCCCAATCGAGTCAATTAAGGGGCCGAACATCTCGGGGTGGGCAACTCCATCGCGCCGGATTATGGCCGGCCGGCAATTCCCATTAAATTTGCATTCGATTCCGATTTGCGCGGCCCTTTTCGTCGGTCGAATCGAATCCGCCGCGATTTCGCCGATCCGATGGTCGGGCCATCCCGATGGAAGGGATTTTCCAGAAAAAGAGAGTCGCGGTCCCCCTCGACGACGGGTTTATCTCTCGCGGCCGCGAGATCGCCGCAATTGTCGGGTCGCTCCCCTCCACCCGGTTTCCCGGACAGACTCCGGTTCGGAGATTCGTAAATTTCCCCGGGAACTCGAACTCGAACTCGAACTCGAACTCGAACTCGAACTTGAGCTCGAGCTCGGGGCGGGGTCGGAGGTCGGCCGTAGGTGTTCGTAGGTGCACGGACTCGCCGCTCGCGGAAGGTAGGGGAGCCGGCAATTACTCGGGACCTGGAAGCCGTTCAATGGTCGGATCGTTTTACGGGCCGAGCCGCGTCGCCATCGATATTCGCCATGGCTCGCTCCAGCCGAGTCTAATTATACCGGGTGCTAATTAATCCTGCACAAAGGTCCCGTCGGTACGCGATCGCGCGTTACCGGCAACCCGATCTATCGACTCCACCCCGGATTGATGTTCCCCCCGCGAGGGTTATCAAAAGTCGGGCGGGCTCTGGTTTCCCGATTTCCGCGGCCATATTTATCGCCGAGTCCTTTAAGGTGAAGTGGAACCCCTTTCAAATCAGTCGATTCGAATACAACACTTTTTTTTAAGGATATTAGACCAAACTGTTCGAAACTTTGACACGTCACTCCTGATCATCTAAGAATTGTCCTGACACATTCAAAATTTGGATATTTTTTTTTTAATTTTTTAACTCCGCCCAGACCAGAACCAAAATGGCGTCGCGCTCTCATATTTCGATCAGTATACAATTATCGAAGGCTCTGATATGAGAATCGAAAGGGTCGGGACAATTTTACGACAATTTAGAACACTCTGGTAATCGATAAACTCGCATTTGAACGGGATAAAGGCAAAAAAGTGTTTCATGCGCTTCTATGCCAAAACGATGGTAATACCAGGTGTCGGAGTGAAAATTTAATTCACCTGGAAATCACAGATAGCGCAGGGGGTCCCTCTGCAGTCAATTAGGGCCCCAGGAAGCATGAATCTAGAGGATTTCTGGAGTTTTACTTTGATTTCTTTATAATTATTATACGGAAACGACATATGGTGTACGCCATTTGGTACAATATCCAATATAATTCGACACAGCTGTCAATATAAAAACCAACGTCGGCAACGTAAGCATTTAGAAAAATCTTCTTTATCGACGTTGACCAAGTTCCTCGACGTGTTTCACTTCACCTTAAGGCCGCGTGGCGAAGGTATCGATTACCGGGGAAATAAGACGCGACTCGGTAGGCCGTTTCCCAGTTATTCCCGCCGTCCGACCCGCGCTCCGTTTCGAGGCGAATCCATATTTAGCGCGCGCAATCCGCGCTAAATATGGGCGCGGAATCCCTCCGCGCGGCCGAGGGCTCTTTTCACCGATTCGCGAAACTCCATCCCCCCCTCCGGCCCTCCCGCGCCTTTTCGGTGCGCCGTTTCTCCTTTCATAAAGCGGGGCCTCGTTTCGCGGGGAACTCCCTCGGAGGCTTCTCCGTCTAAGGTTTATTTACCGGCGGGAAAGCTCGCGATCCTTCTGTCGCCCCCTTTTTTCCCCGAGACCCTTCGGCGTTTCTCTCGTTCCTCGCGTCGACGAGGTCTCGAGTGGTCTTCGCGAGCGGACGACCGGGGATTCCGTCGGCGATCGACCCCCCATCGAGCGAGTTTTCCCTCCTAAAAGTCGAGGGAAATCAACGGCCGATGAGAACGACGCCCTTTTCGCCCCGCCGAGGGGGAGAGGAGCGGCGGATTTTCCGCGGCGCGTCAAAGAACCGGCGGATATCGTCTGGGGTTTTTTGCCGCGCGGTTCTCGCCCCCGGTCGGAGAAAATCCGAGGGGAATGGAAAACCGCCACTGCTCGGTCGCTTTTCCCCGGGTATACGACGGGCGTCGACGCTGTCCGGGAGGAGACGTTTCATTTGTCCGCCCGGCGATTTATCGTCGCGATGATAAATAAATGTTTGCGCTCCCGCATGGACCGGGGTGGCGAGATGGCAAGGTTTGCCATTCGCCGACGTTTCGCGAATCCTTCACGGTATTTCCCGGCCTTTTCCACGTGGAATCGGCATTTCGATCGGGACGCCCTTCCGCTGCTCGTTTCCGTGGAGGCGCCTCCGGGCTACGAAGTGTGGTGACCACTCGCAAGAGCGAGTCGAATTTCACAGCGACGGCCGAAGGTAAGTTTACGATGAATTATCCTAACATTAGAGATAAGACTTCGCGGGCGATTTCAGGGAGAAATTTTCCTTGCACCTCGTGCGCCGATTTATGTACGCGCCTACGAGCTCGAGGAGACCAGGACGATCGGTGCCTTATCGAAGTCGGTCGTTAACGGCCTCCTCGATCTTGAGGCCTCTCGATATCACGCGAGCTTGTCCCCCGACGTTTTTCCTCGTGATAACTCTCGTAAGATAATCCACTCGCGGGCGGATCGTCCGCAATCACGCTCTCGGATTGATAACCCCTCGAGGGTCCTTCGCGACACAAGAAGTCCAATTTTCATTCCTCGGGTCGCTATCGATAACGGTGACATACGAGCGGATAACGACGTTGGAAGGCACGCGCGATATTGCAGAGATCGGTGATTAACGCGATTGCGATGGTTAATAAAAGTGGAGGCGCCGAATTCTTGCCGGTCCTCGATCCTCGGTATTTTTCCCGATATTTTCTTTCCTTCCGCTAGGTATAGAGACGAACGGGGACAAATGAAAAAGTCGAGCGGAAAAGTTAGCCTCACCCCTGGTCGAGCGATATTCGCCTCCACCCCCGTACCCGGCCGGGTAAATTCCTACGGTGTTTCTCCCCGGGGTATCAACGCTCTTTTCGAGCTTCGTCCTTTTTTTCGCGAAAGGATTTCGACCGGACGTTGACCCAAGGGTTTTAAAATCTCTCGTCTCGCCCGTCTTTGGCCTCCTCGGATAAAAGGGTCTCCTTTTGTCACCTCGTCCTCGGTCGACGGTAACGACCGCCGCCAGAAGCTCGGCCGAGGAGAGAGAGAGAGCGCGCGGTGTTCCGGAAATTCGTTAAAGCTCTTTCAGCTTTGATCGGCGCGTTAACTCCGATTTACGTCTAGCTGCCATTATTGCGCCCCGAGAGAGCGGCTTTCGACGAGGAAGGTGCCCTTTTAGCTCCCTCCATCTCTCTCGACGAGCTCTTTCCCTCGGATCCCCGATTACAAAAATTTCCCCCCTCTCGCGCGTTCCATATTTCCGGTGGATCCGGCGAGCTCCAATGGGCG